CCACCGCCCCTCCGGGCCCATCATCCCAGGCCACACCTTCCGCGTGAGCCCCGTCCCGGCCCCCGTTCCTTCCGACCTGAACGAAGGCGACCTCCTCCTCGAGACTCTCTACATCTCGCTCGACCCGGCGATGCGCGGCTGGCTAGATGATGTGCGCTCCTACGTTCCCCCGGTACAAATCGGCGAAGTGATGCGCGCCTTCTGCATTTGCCGCGTCCTTGCCTCTCGGTCTCCCAAGGCCGCCGCAGGTGACGTGGTAACCGCCATGAACGGGATCCGCGAAATCGGCATTCTGAGCGACAAGCACGTCGAAAAGCCGGCGTTTTTGCCTCCTGGCGGAAAGACGACAGACCTGCTGGGTGTGCTGGGCATGACGGGCCTGACGGCTTACTTCGGCATGATGAAGATTGGCAACGTCAAGAAGGGGGACACGGTGGTGGTATCGGCGGCGGCGGGCGCGACGGGCAGCGTGGCGGTGCAGATTGCGAGGATCCAGGGCGCCAAGAGGGTGATTGGCACGGCGGGCAGCGACGAGAAGTGCCGGTGGCTGGTGGAGGAGGGCGGGGTGGATATTGCGCTCAACTATCGCGATCCGGAGTTTCGGAGGAAGTTCAAGGAGGCGACTCCCGAGTTTGTGGATGTCTACTTTGATAACGTCGGCGGCGAGCAGCTCGATATGGCGCTGGCGAGAGCCAGCAGGGGCGCGAGGTTCGTCATGTGCGGTGGGATTAGCCAGTATAATGCTGAGCACAAGCAGGGGCCCAAGGTGGGTGGTTTCTTTCTTCTTCTTGGATAATACCTACGACGGGAGAGCGCTTTACTGACAACGTATTACAGAACATCGCGAACGTCATCACCATGAGGATCAGGATGGAAGGCTTCATCGTCTTCGACTACGCAGACGAGTACCCGACCGCTCTCGGCCAGCTCGCCCAGTGGCTGGCTGAAGGTAAGCTGAAGAGGAAGGAGACCATCCTCAAGGGAGGCATCAGAGTGGCGGATGAAGGCATGGTCAATCTTTACAAGGGTGGTAACATCGGTAAGTCACCTCACTCTTTCACTTGGGTGCCGGTACGAAACGTCAAGTCACTAACAACTGTTGGGAAAATGCAGGTAAATTGTTGGTCGAGGTCAAGAACCCCGACGACGAGCGCCAATCGAAGCTTTAGATTGCGAGCTACCTCTAGACCCTAGATGGCGTGCGTGTGTTTGGTTTGTAAAACTACTATGATATGAAAAGTACATTGCGGGGGGTAGCATCTTATAAACGGCCAAGTGTTCCTTTCATTTTTCCCCATCGTGCATGAAAAGAGAAGTCAATGCCAACCGCTGGTGTCGTGTGCGTGTGCGTGTGTTCGTGTGTGTGGTAGTGACCCTGATTACAGGTACTCATTGCCCGCATTGCATATCCAAGTTTCATATCGATTGAGGAGGAGGCAGTCTTGGTCCTCAACAAGGCACAAGGAATCCAGCTTCATGCCGCCAGATGGCGCCATCGAGGTGATTCGACATTCAATATGCCTGGATCTGGACATGTGGCGGGGGACAGATCATCGAGTACCCTTTTCAAATGCCAGAAGGGAGAGACATCTGTATGAGAGCGCGGATTTGCCGTGTTGGCATGCGTCCGTCATGTCCGGTTACCAAGGAAGAACATGAAGCACCTGTTGATACCTGTCACGTTCGCAACAGGAGACAGGAAAGCGAAAAGCATGAAGGTTAGCATAGGTAATATTGCAAAATGTCATAAACGGGCCAGCAGGGAGTATTCCTACTGAAGCAAACCAAGAGAAGTGTCCGACATGCATCGAGTGTCTTCATAATTCTGCCCTCTGCAGTACATCGACAGCCAGCAATCCACTTACCTAACCTCCAGCCTCCCAGGGGTACATGCAGTTTGAAAAGCAAAGATCTATTTCAGGCATATCGAAATATAATCAGCGAGTAAGTGCCCTGCAGCAAAGCTGCATCCATTGACTTTCTCCATTCATCACACACGTTCTCTTTGATTCGTCATCGTTCCCCTCCCCACGTGCGGGTAGGGTAAGGTAAGGTATGCAAGGTACCTGACCTAAGGGTGCCGTCCGGCAATGTATAAGTGCCTCTACCGTCGGGACTCGGGGCATTGGGTTTTCAATAGGGTTGAAAAATCCCTGCGAAAACGCTCACCTTAAGGCAGCACCCGATCGACGGTTAAGGCTTGGGACCCTGAAAATTGACGCCGCGAAATTCTACGGTATGTACAAGATTAGGTTGGGACATCTACCTAGGTAGATACTGCACTGCTCCCGTCCGGCCATCAAGGTTACTCTACGGTCCGAGATCTACACTTAACGTGAAGGTTACGTGCCATCTTTCCCGGCTATTCAACCCAATTTTGTAACGAAAGAGTGTCCGCAGCCGCTTTCGGAGGTCCTGGTCTTTTGTTCCCCTTCCTTTTTCATCGTCATCATCAAACAGTCTTCAACTGCCACTCAGATTTGATACCGCAACAACACCAGCACTATCAGAATCGCTATTGTGGCAACAAGAAGCAACTCTGAGAAAATAAAGTCTCATTTCTTCGAAGCGCAAGTACAATTTACTCTGCACCTGCCTCCTGACAATCACCTTCATCGCCAATACCACCTAACTCCCGTCATCACAGACTCCTATCCAATTGAAAGCCACCCACCTCCATCCATCCACGCACAAAGACCTCGCGCAGAACAAAATGTCTTCCCAATCAAACGACGGCGACGAAGACGACATCGCCAAGGCTATCAGACGGTTGATCACCATCTGCAACCACCTCTTCGAAGACGACGGCAGTGACTCGGCCATGGACGACAACCAGTACGACAACTTCATTGCCGCCCTGCAGCCGAACGAGACTGAGACGGAGCCATTCTCAACGCACGAAGAGCTCGTGAACGAATACAGGTCCTTCGCCCAATCAGTCCAAACGCACCAAGACGTTGTGAATGAATTCAGGTCCTTCTCCGAATCAATTCAAACGCACGAAGAGGTCGTGAACGAATTCATGTCTTTTGTCCAGTGGAACTATGCGAACTACAACGACGTCTTCGGAGACAGTGGTGACTCAGACGACATGGGCTACTGCAGTAACACCACGGTCCTTGCCCCGGTGGTTATAGTGGCCTTCGTGGAGGGTACGTTCTGGGTTGTTGCTTGGTGGTTGATCAGTCTGTAGCTCGCTGCTGAGGTGTGCAAACCCCCCCCCCCCCCAAAAAAAAAAAAAAAGAAGAAGAAAAAAGAAGAAAGGGACAAGAAAAAAAAAGGAAAAGAGAGATAAGGCGGTTCTCGAGAACGTCAAGAAAGCCGAGGCAGTGGCGCCGATAGTCTGCTTGGCCATTCAAGACTGCATAGATGGTATTAGACCGCTAGGTAAACATTGTGAGGAACTTGAGTGGAGGATTCTGGCATACAACGCTTGCTTGCTAGTGGCTTTGGTTGACGCCAGCCCGGACTGGACCGGAGATGAGCTTATGTAGCCTATCGTACCCATCAGACTCAAGGGCGGAACTTAGGTAACTCACAGAATGTGGTCCTGGAAATGATAAAGTCGTTGCCACACCTCACTGTGACGTGGGCTTTCCGTTATCCCACGATGATCAAGATGTTTTCGGAGAAGGTGTTCACCTATTCCTCGTAAGATTCGTCGCTAGAGGTAGAAGTAAATATCTCCAAGGTATCGTCTGTATTGTATTGTTATTCCCGCCTTCTAATTGCTCTCGTTCAATCTGCATAGAATCTGTATTTCCCTAGGAGGTGTCTTGCAGATTCGTTGTCATCTGGGTATGTTCCTCAATTTCTGAATACCAAATATCGTTCTTACCGTGGGATTCGACTTGAAGATGGAGAGTGTTCCTATCCTTGGGCAGTAGCACCCGGGTGGTGGTTGGCATAGTGGGCGGCGGTTTTAGACCATTTTGGCATTGGTAGGGTAAACGAGAGATAGAAGAGAACCTTCACGTTTATGCGAGGGAAAGCACAAGGTGTGCTGAAGCTTTTATCATGTCGAGGAAGGTGTAAACTCGAGACATTGTATGGGGAAGGAGCGAGATGGGGCACTGTTAGCTACGCAATCGTACCTACGTTGTGTTTCACGTGTAAAATTCAGGAACACATGGGCTGTAACGATGATGTAGCAGAGCAAGAATCAAGATCATGTTGGGGAAAAATATGTCGGTAAATTTATTTCCGTCAACGCCTGTCTCGATGTTGCTTCGCTTGTCTCGAAAGCAACTCTGTGGTATTCCATCCAAGAAAAGAAAAAAAAGCCATTGCAGCGCGAACCGATCTCAATTCCAGCTTGAACTTCCCTGAAAATAAAACTCCTGAGAAACCAACAATGACTATAACCAAAAGGCCTTCTTTGCCCTGTTCAAGTCCTCCACGAGCACCCATCATCAGGTTCAAACCCCCTCCGAGTAGTTAAGCTTCTGCAATTCAACGACACAACTTTACCACCACCACTCAAACCCCTTCTCCTCGTCGGTAACCTTCTCCCAGGTGACGTGCAAGTACTCGTCATCCCAGATGCCCACCCTGACATCGTACTCCATGCCGAGTCCTCCACCTACAAGCGGTCTTCCCCTCAACTTCCTGTTCCAGCGCTGGCGCTCGGGGTAGTGCGACAGGATGAGGTCCAGCCTCTCGCGGAAGATGTCGACCTCGTCCTTGGACATCTTCGAAAGGAGAACCTCGACCAGCTCCTTGCCCGACAGCAGGGTGGCGGGCTTCGCGTCGGGCTCGAGAACGTGGTACTGCTCGTACCAGTACCAGAGGGCGTAGAGTTGCAGCTCGGTAAAGTTGAAGTTCCAGAAGTTGGCGGCGGTGGGCCTGGCTCGGTTGGTGCGCAGCCCCTTCTTTTGGGAGCGGTTGGCAGATGTAGTGGCCATCGTGGGCTTTGTGGTGATGGTCGACATGGTGTCTGAGGTGGTAGACTAGAGTGGTTGGTTAGTAAATGCCTTGGTAAATGTGCTTGAAGGAGGAGGTTCTTACAATTGTAATTCCAGGATAGCAGGTTATCTTGGGTAGGTAGCCAGGCTTGTGAGGTGTGGCCGAGAGTGGTTGTTTGGTATTGAATGCCTTGGTAAGTGAGCTTGAGGGAGCAAAATTTTGCACTTGTAGTTGCAGGATAGCAGGTTGGGTAAGGTAGGTAGGCAAGCTTGTGGGTTGACCAAGAGTGTTTGGAATGATGAAAAGAGAAGAAGGGAGAATGGATGTTAGGGTGGGAGACCACTCTTAAATACCTTAGCTATTTGCTCACGTACACAGCTGTTGAGGACACGTCTTTGGATTGAGGCAATGCAAGGAAGAGATTCTTCTGGGTTCCTGGTACATGCAATCAATAGCCTCTTACTGGGGCGAGGACGCATATGCAAAGAAGAAACTTGCGTGTATCGATCCGATTCCGCTCCAAGTGGCAGTGTATTATGCATATGGCTGCCCTGGCATCGATTACAGGTGTACCTACCTAACGATATTCCCTCACGGATCTCAATCTGCCGCACCAGGCTGAAAGGGCTCCATGTGCAGCTGATCTGTAGTATAGATGGCACCTTGGTAGAAGATTCCATCCAACTTGGTCCACCTACCTCTATGCACCATGTCGCTCATAGGAATGGTAGGGCGGCCGCTCTTCATCCACTCCAACAAGTTACCTATGGAAGAAAGGCAAAACCTGGAAGCGGTCTCCCATGTTTGGCCATCTACATATAACGCAGCTTAGCCCGCAGAGCCAGTAGGCTCTCTCCTCCTTGGCGTGGACTTCGGACTTGACAAACTTGACCTTAGTCTTGAACCAAGCGCTGTCGAGCTTGAGCTGCTCGTACTCGGATTTCAGACGCGCCTATTCATCCTTGACTTTGTTGATTTCGGCGGCGAGTCCGCGGCCAAGTCAAAAGTCTCAACCTTGGGAGTCTCAGGCTACCTCTACATATATCTATCCTTCCACTCCTGTCACTGAGGTACCTAGATAGAGTGTACCTCTAGGTACATGTATTAATGTGAGACCCCCTTCCACTGATCATGGGAGGTACTTAGCAAACAAGACACTGGATGGAAAAGAAGTGAAATTACAAACTGAATTTGCCTCCGAAAAATCGAGACGTACCTTGCATCAGGTTTGTCCAGAGGAGTGTCTGTAAAGAGAGGATGGGAAACGCGCAGCGACCGCGACTCGCATTTGGCACGAAGCACCAAGGATGGGACCGTCTGATAAAGGACAGGTTTCGAACATGGAAAGCCCCGACCACATTGAGGCAATGAGAACACTTGTTCAGACTCATATGCGACTGGATAATGTGCAGGTGGTGAAGAAAAGGGGCGATGGGATGTGTTGTCCCTCCTTTACTTATGCTTGGGTATATTTATAGCTAGGCACGAACGGACATCCGTTGTGCAGTCGTTATATAGGTCCCAGTGCAGTGTTCATGCAGCTCATAGCTTACGTTTACGCAGTCTTGCATTTTGGCCACGGTTACTTACACCGAGTCGGTCTCCGGCTTCTTTCCTGTTGGCCCCCCAGTCCAAGAAAATGAAATGTAAGGTCCCTACATGAACCTGGAAGTGCTTTCACCATATGCAAGGGTAACTCGTGGATGTAATTCTCTTCCAACTTCGATCTTCGATTTGTCATCCCTCCTACCGACACGTACAGCTCAACCATTACCTACTCCAACACTCTCGTATACCACTCTCCACCAAGCAAGCCAACAAGCCACCAAGTCACCAGGCCAGTCCAGGGCAGCTCCAACTACTATACTGATACCAAGCCGCCTTTAGGCCAGCAAAAAGCCGACCACCGATACCCGCCAAATAGCCACTGCTGCACCCAAAGCCCCTGCTCGACCATCAAATTTCCAGACACAGCACCAGTTAACAACTGGCTACTCGAGCGGGACGTTTCCGTGCCCGGAAGCCCCTCCACTACTTCCACCAGGGACATCAGAATTCCCTATCTTGTCCTTGTTCTGCAAGAACCAGTCTAACGAAGCAACCAGTCCTGGGCTGTACTCCGTCTGCACAGTCTCTCCTGTCGGCTCGGGTGCGGTTTGTGTCGAAGCAGTAGACCCGACGAAAGTTGAAGTAGGTGGAGCGTCGTTCGTGATGATACTCGCCTGGGCGTCGGCCTCGATTCCCCGCTACACTTCACCAGGGACATCAGTATTCCCTATGCTTTCCTTGTTCTTCAAAAACCAGTTTAACGAAGAAATTAGTCCTGGGCTGTACTCTGTTCGCTCAAGCTCTTCCGATGCTTTGCGCTTGAGTTGGATTGAGGTACCAGCCGCAGCATTAGTTGAGGCAGCAGTTGAGGCAGAAGGCGTATTGTCCGTGTCGCTGTTCATATGAGTCGTAGCATCACGCCTTGCCATAATGATAGACTTGATCTCGTCTTGGGCGGTCAAGCGCTGGTCTTGTCCAAGAGGGCTGCCCGTGCTGTTCTCCGCCGGTGAGACAGTGGGTTTTGTTTGGGTCTCAGTAACAGCCCCGGTGGAAGTTGAAGCAGATGGGGTGGTAGTCGCATTGGTCCCAGTACCAGCCGCGGCAGCTGCATCATCGATCTCCTTCTGACGAGCAATATTGTTGCGCCTTGCCACTTCCCAGAACTCGTCGTTACCAAGGAAAGTCAAGCTCTGTTCCTGGGAAAGATGGCCGTCCACGTTGGCATCGGATGCCAGTTCCTGCTCGACAGTGTCCACGTTCAAGGCAGAAAAGAGTTGGTTCAGCCGTCTACGTGTAGATTCTGGACAGTCGCGCAATTGTCTACGAGCTCTACAAGAATCGCGAAATCGGCGGTTGCTGCGATGCTCGCCGTGGATGCGCGGAGGAGAATCCAAATTATCCATAGGTAGAGGTGATGACTGGCGAGAACTGCGTTAGCTGTTGCCCGTTTCCAATGATGCTAGGGTGATAAGTGCTGGAGGGAGTCTTTACCTGTCGACTTGAGTTATGGGTTGAAGGGGAGGACACTCGTCAGAGTATCGTGGGACGACGTAGAAAGTGCCGAGTAGATGCGTGGGAAATGTTATTGAAGATGTTCAAGAGTTTGGGGGTAGGCAAAGTGTCTGGACGCAGAATTTTGTTGGCAGTTTCGACAATCGTAGATGTATATGATAGTTGTGGAAAATAAAGGAAGTGATAATTGAGCGGGAAGACAATCGAATACGATGGCAATTATACTACGAGGCGCCATTTTCCATTCACTGGAACTGGAAGAATTGAGCCTTGACCTACCTTGGAGAGAGTGAATGTCCCTTGGAGTAGTGAATGGCCCCATGGCCATTGCTCTCTTTTCATCCGATGAAGGTTTTGGTTGTGGGGTATGTTGTTGAGGTCGGGATCCGTCTTCGAATCCACGAAATGCTGTGGATGATGAGTGCCACAGCCAGTCGTGCCGATGTACCTCCGTTCCATTCATATAGGTCAGAAAAAAGAGCTCGCAGCCTTCCTCAACAACGGGGTGACTCAGTGAATATATAGGAATTCCCATGGTGTTGGCTCCTATTTATCTGTGATTAATGACAAACTTTGTTGAAAAGATGTAGCGAGTCTAAATGTGCGAGTCTCTCACCGGTGTTCTGCACCAGCAGGAGTGTTACCTCGAGCAGGTCCTTGCTTAGAGCCCACTCTTATGTTCATCTCCACTCCAGCTCCGACCACTTTTTGGTGGTAACTGCCTCCCAGGTTTGTGACAAGCCAGCCGCAAATTTCATGTTGTGTCACCTAAGAAACAAGTATGACTCTATGGAGAGGAGCTCTGGATTTTAACTCTGTCTCTGGTGCAGCCACTTGAACTGAAGGTGGTTCAACTCTGGCTCTGGAGAGGGCTTTGAATAGTCTGGGCTGGTTTTGAAAAGGTGAGCTCCAGACGCTCCACGGCCTCTAATTCTAAAAGCTTTCCATGCCGACATTTGCTGGCGAGAGTAACGGGGCTACAATACGAATAGTCTAGTATAGCATCTTTTGGTAGACGACAGTTGGTAGGCTTCCGGTAGCGAGCTCTAAGGCGATGACTCCTAGGAACCAGATATCGACGGCCGCGGGATGTTTGAGGTGCTCGTCGCGGACGTTTGGCCTGGCATCAGGCAGATTGGTCTCTACGAGAGCGCAGCGAGTCGTGAAAACCCCCAAGAATCGCCAAAGAACCTCTAGCGCAAGCTATTCCTCGGCATCAGGTCATGCAAGTGTACAACCATTTTGTCTTGTTTGATTATTCGCCAGAGTCTTGGATGATGGCGCTGTTGTCGATGGCGAAGCCAGCTTCCTCAGCTAACTAGGCCAAGAGAATGCTGCTTCGGTCCATCATGGCTACGTCGTGCTGAACCAGGTCGTTGGGGTCGGCAGAAAGAAGAACCTCCTCCTGTTTCTCACCTGTGCTGGCCATGCGAGCGGCCCTTTCCGAGTCAGCAGAGGATGGTGTCAGTGGGGAAGGCCAGCGAACACAGATGTCCTCTAATCCAGAGACTGAATTGGAGGGCATAGAGGTGTGTCGCGGTAGACACGCGGCTCAAGCCGAGGTTGAAAAGCCTCATCATGATGTCCTCAAACATGAACCCCTCAAAGTAGCACTTCTAAACCTGCGTGGGAGGTGTTCTTGGTCTTTCGGCTTCCCTGTTCTGGCTGGGTTGGGCCTTGGGACGTGGTGGTGCTGGTAACGGTCTTCTTCGAGATGTCTGACCTGCGCATCCTCGTCGTCGCTAACGAGGTCGATAATATTGCTTGACGATGTTTGAGCCGCTTGGGCGGGTGTTCGTCCCCCAAGCTGATCGTATGGCAGAGACTTTTGGTTGAAGACATCACCCGGTTGTTCGTACCTCCGCTGTCTGGCCATATGATCGGCCAGCCTGTGACCCAGTGTGGTGTTGCAAGGAGGCATCCGCTTAATTATAATCGACCAGCCGCGGTCGAAGAGGTAATGCGATAACGAGACAATTGCTTGGACAGATGGATTGGTGGTTTCCACAGCGTTTATATTGTTGGCGATGACCCAAATGGGGATGAGCAGAACCATATCACCCGTCTCGACAATGCAGTAAAGAACGTGGCGACTTGCCCGTTCTGATAAGAACAACACTGGTATGCCTACTAGGTCGTCAGCATGCAACACTTGTGCAAAAAAGATGTTTTGATAAGAAAAAGAGATAAGAACAAGCCACCTATAGTTAATGAGATCATACTTACTACATGCAACTTATCGTAATAATACTCACGTCGTTTTCTCCTGAGTAGCCTCATATCCATCCTCGACTAAACCCATCCGCCCAACCCCAACATCTCTTCCGCCTTTCCCACAATGCCATACCTGGCCGACACTTCCAATTCAGTTTACTTTGATCGTCGGTTGTCATCGAGCTTTGTATTTTTGGAGGAGCCTCCCTTCCCCGTTGCCGGGAACTGGCTGCCTCCAGAGTCGCTGGGGATCGTGCTTTTCTGCGCGGGCAGAGGCGCGGATGCCTGACTTGAGGGCTTTGTTGGGGTTGAAGTTATTGTAGGTGGTCGGAGTGGGAGAGTTGGCGGGGGCGCGCAGTGAGTTACCCTTACAAACCGAGACCAGTACAGCGCGGTCGGGGTTCTCCGGGGTGATCGGGTAAGGCAACAGATAACCGGCGACGTAAATCAACTTGGGCTCTGGCTTCTTGCCCAGGAGATACTCTAGTAAGCGTTGCAGCAAGTGACACCGTTGAGCCTCTCCTTCAGCGTCGCCGATCTCTCCAAAAAGTCCGCCGAAGGGAAGTCGTAACGCGGAAAGGCAAAGATGCCATGAACGGCATCGCTCTTTGCCACGAAGTCCGGCAATGCTTGGGCTATCTGGACCGGATTTTGATAAGAGGCGTTTATCAAAGGTTGTGCATGCCGCCACGTCCATCTCCTCACCGGTGAGGAAGATGACTGTTGCGGCCATCATCTTCAGGTAGAACCTATCTGTGGCCAAGTGGGTTGCGTAGGTTAATGGAGGCCTGGCGACCCTTGTAGAGGACAATGAACGCCATCCGGATGGTTCGTACGAAGCGGCTCAAAGGAGGAAGCGGACCGAATGTATCGTTTCGAGCTAGGAGGGGGTAAGTACATGGTGATGAAGGATAGTCAAGAAGACGGAAGTCATACGTACAGCGCGAGAAAGGCTCCTGTCAGTGTTTGTATGTCACCTCCTGCTCATGAGACAGGAAGCGGACCGAATGGTATCGTTTCGAGCTAGGAAGGAGTTAGGAGGTGGTGATAAACAGGCGCGCATATATATGGAAATTGTAGAGATTAATGGGAAGTTGACAACAGAGGCGACAGATGGCGGGTTTGCAGGATATTTATGAAGACGAAGCCAGTCATACTTACAGCGCGAGAAGGGCTCCTCCCAATACTTGTACTGTCACCTTTGACTCAAGGCGCGTATGTTTGCTGTGACTAATGTGGATGGTGTTCGCAACCCTCTTGCTTGCGATGGACTTTTCCTCTGTGCCCAGGAGATAGTTATGGAGGAGTCAGAGTCAGACGACGTTGTTGGCTCTTTTCATTATAGGGGCGAAAGTGTTTTTCGGTCAAAGAACGCGTTCGTGGTGGGCGAAGGTGGGCCGAAGCTGAGATTATTGTTGCTGAGGTTGATGACTCTAGTTTGGTCGCTGTCTCAGGCTGGAGATTGTTGAGTAATCGGGGAAGCGCAAAGTTTGTGCGATGACCGAGGCGAGTGAGAGGAGGAGAGAAGTGTGCGGGAAAATAGAGCTTCAAAAGGGGTTTCCGTCACCCAGGCCCAGTGAGTGAGTCCCAAGGGTTCGGACGAAAGGATAAGCACTCTCCGGAAAAGCATTACGAATCTTTCGCAGGACATTCCCTAGTACGAACCGTAATAGGGTGAATACTAGAGGTATAGCAGAACGGGAGAGGCATCAGAGTGACGCCCTAACACCACGAACGGCTTCGATGTTGGAAAGAAGTCCTCTCAAATCCTCATAAGAAGGAATAAGGGGAGGGATTTCAGGTACTATCTTGGTAGTGTTGATGACTTCCCATATGACTTGGGGGAGCTTTTTAAGGGGTGCAACTTTGGTGGCCATGCTTGCCATGGTAATCAGAGAATTGAGAGTCTCGGTAGGAGTCGATAGACCGCTTGATAGCGACCGTTACACGCACGGCTTCCGGTGCCGGGCTTGTGACTTGTCCCACCAGCAACTCCATCCACGAGATTATCGACATCAGCAGCGGTATCGAGGATGACCAGCACACCTCCAGCACAAAGGTCACCGTCAAGATCTTTGACGATTCCATGGGCGCCCTGCTCATGCTGGACGGCCAGTTCTCTGTAGCCATTCTCGGCATGCGCATGGCTGCCGTGGATGCTATCCAGAAGTTCATGGAGCTCATACTCAGGGACGAGAGCTACAGATAGACAGAGAAGGACGACTGCGCCTCGAAGCTGAATAATGTTCTTACGAGGGCCGGAGAGAGAGACCTGGCGTCACCACTGTGAGAGACGAAGAAGACAACGACGCTGCCCTAGCCAATAATCTGGACATCCGCACTGTTAATGGAACGAACCCAGCAATACCGCCTCTTATGGCGCCACTTGGCGCCTAATCATCCTTTGGTGTTCTCGGCCTCATCTCCTTAAGAGGGTTTTGGTCCTTTTTGTCGCTGTCGCTGAAGCTTGGGGCTTCAGGATGGTCCAGCCATTGTAGAATGTTCTTGCTACGTTAAAGTTGAACAGAACGACAAGAACAAGCAAAAACAAGAGGAGGGATCCAAAGTAAAATGGCATTTAAAACAAAAGAGTGTCCAGCGCTGCCAGCAAAGCATAAGACCGGCGATGGGACGTTCGACATTAAAAACGACAACTTCGAGGTCTCCCGTCTTCGATACTTTCGAGTTCGAATCAGGCAAACCTCATCTCATATCGCCCTATTCTTTGCCACCGCCTTCATGGTTTCAACCCTTCACTTTGGAATGCCAAGCAGCTGGTTCATCCGGAGTCTGAAGTCCTCCATCTATCATCAAGAGACACCAAACCCAACCCATTCCCAAACCATCACACAAAGACATCACTGCCACTTATTCTGGTGCAACTGGATGGAGACAGTCAGCAGAACCTCGAGAGATGGGACACCACGATCCGAGATTTTCTAGGGATGGAGGCTCTTCAAGTGTTCCTCGACTTCGATATTCCTGAGCCGGACATGAACAACTGAAACTACTTCCACGGTCAAGTTCGACAACGTGGGCGGTGCCATAACCAAAATCGTGTTGCAAAGGTGCGAGAATACATGTGGAATTTAATCCAGGGCGCTGGTGAGGTGACATGGAATCAGAACCCATTTTCTTGTTGTCGGAGATGATGGAAACCCTTTGGACCTGGATACTGCTCGAAATAGTGACAATCCCTTTCTTCTCCCACTTGGTTTACCTCGAACAAACAAAGCCGTCAACACGACGGGTATGCTCAACGACTTGCCCACGAGATAAACCAAAGAAAGAAACAGCAGCGTCGGCTCTTCTGGAAACGAAAAGCTCGAACCACGGAATCTTATGGGCGGGTAGGTAGAGAAAGATACATATTCACCAAAAGACACATCTCGGCCCTCTTGGCCACTTGGCCTCGACCTCAGCTCGACAGGATGCTTCCAAGTGCGTGCCAATGCCAGCTTGACACATGGCACCCAGCATCATTTTCTCCAGCTCTGATCCGCCTGTTCGGGTGAACGCAAACGCAAAAGGTCTGTCTGACTGTACCCAGTGTCCGGTGTACCCGTGTCCAGGTACCATTATGGTGTATGTTTAGGGAATATGCAGGAACCACCAAAAGATCGACAGTCATCCTCGAATGCCGTTATGTAACAGGAACGTCCCGACTTCGGGGTCCTTGAACTTTTCAAAGGGTCTGGATGCTTCGGTCTTTGGCCTTTGTTCAGGGGCGCAGAGGTGCTTGCTCTTAGGTAATCCCTTCACCTCGGGCCGTCCGTTCGGTTCTTTTGTCTGGGAGTTTTTCGCCGTCCCGCCGCCGCCGCCCCGCTGCCGAAACGGCGCGAAACGAGCGAACGAACGAACGCATTGTCCACCACCGCTCGTTCGCAAGTCTTGTCTCAGATGTCTTTGTGTCAAAGCTGAGCACGGACAATCATGTCATGGTCGCAGCTTCGAAGGAAAGGAATAAGAAGAAGATGAACAAAGCTTAACTTGCCAAGTGTCGGGGATATCCCTGGGCTTCTAGACCTTTTGGCTTCTCAACGATGTGATGGGTTGGGTTCGATTTTTGTTCTCTTCGTGGATAATCTCGTGACCAAAAAGTCGGTGGTGGTTTTGCATTTGACGATGATGGAAGAACGTGCCGAGAAGAAATGGTCGAGTCGGTCAAGCCCTTTTTTGCGCCCAACTAACAGCACACCCGAAGCCCGTGCTTTGCGCGGTGAAGCTAGCGTGATGCGTCTTTGGTGTTGGTGTGGTTCTTTGGGGGAGGAGTCGAGGGACAAGTGTGGATTCCCACAACCACCCGCGATATCCACATTGAGCTACGCAATAATTATATAAGAATTGATGCAAGTTGCAGGTGCGCTCCTTGCGTTGGGTTGTGTTTCGTTAGAGTCGCTCTTGCACCAACTGATGCATTGTCCTCCTGCAGTAGCAGTTGCACTTCTGCTGTGGCAGTCACAATTCAGCATTGCCGACATTCGGGCGAGATTGCGACCAACGAAAAAGGGCAGCCACGACGACGAGCACAGGAAACTGGGAACCTTGGTGGTAGCTTGGCCGGGGTTTGGCTTCGTTGAATTGGGGGCACCGACGACGACGACGACGACGACGACGAGGGTGACGACGACAACAAACTGCCCACTTTGACGAACAGCGAAAGCAAGCAAAGGCGGCGTCGGCGTGTGACGTTGCCGGCCTTTCAGAAGAAGTGAAGAGAAGTGAAGAACAAAACAGAATGAGGCTAATCGAGTCAAGGGAACGTTGGGTTGGGCGAATCAAGAGCAAGCGGTGGGAAAGTGTTACTCGATATTTACTCGATTACTCGATTCTTACTCGATCAAAACTCGAAACGCTCTTATCCGCCAGAAGTGGTTCCGCTCACTTCCGTCTAGATTTCAAACACAGTCCGCAGTCCCGCCGCCTTTCTAGTTTCAACCATGGTCGGTCTAAAACTGAATAACCTCGGATGCTGCCTCCCAAACCCGGAAACTCGTTGAGAGAGGATTTCTCACCGATACGAGAGTCCTGCATCGTCGTCATCGCCCGGCACTTGGTTTCTCACTGAGAGAGCTATGGTCTCTGGGAATCGTCGTATTTGGCAGAGGCTCTGCTGTTGTCGTCATGTTGATTTCCTTATCTATCCGTCAGTGACGCAGTTCCCTTGCAGTGAGTGTCTTGGAGAAACACACTGATCCTCACTGCAACTGAACTGTCAATCTGCCACAACCAACAAAACAAAAACACCACAACGGTAAAGTACGTCGGTACCTGGTGGCGGCCGATATCAGGCAGTGGCACTCCTGTCAATTGGGTTCGTCGCGATCCACTGTGGCATTCAATGGGAAAGGATCCTAGCAGGCGGTGACTTCCCCATCTGGACCCTGACAAAGCCACTTTTCTCCCACTGTTCTCATTGGACGATCTTCTTTTCGTAGTGGAGGGGCGTGTCTGGAGCCCTATCTGGTGGGGCGTGCTTGCATCGGACTACGGCTGTTTCCGACTAACAAAACCAGCAACCGCAAAGGGAACACTGCGAAGTGCGCGCACCAATCAGCGGCCGCGGATAAAGGGAATCTAGATGCAAACTGCAAGAGACCGCAAAAAGACGGATTGTCTTGGCTTCAATGTCTCTTCTTTCTTCCATTCCGACATGTTCCCTATCAGTATCAGTCATCTATCTCACCTCTTCTCTTTCATGCTAAAACACTACTTCTGGCCAGCGAGCCAAACCCA